ACGAGATAGTAAAACATGAGGAGCCACTCAGTTTCGGCTAGCTCAGGATGCTTAATGCTCTTCATTTCAATGAAAGTTTGGGTTTCGTTCAGGCAAGCCGCAAAACGCCTAAGCATCTTTCCTTTTGAAAACCGGTGTATATTGCTGTGCAAAAGCAGTGTTTTAAAATGTCGATCATTTAAGGCTCGGGCAGCAATAAAGTTGATCACACGAATGACCAAACAGGGAAAAGAACGACGCTGCATTTATGCCTTTCACTTGCGTTTCTTCCACGTGGGTTGTCCTCATGATGGTACGCTCATGAACAGTCTCTGCCGACAGAGGCATGTCTTGTATCTGTTTGATTATCTTGTCTTTGTTCGGAAGATCAAAAAGTTTATTGGCTACATCCAGCATGAACGTTTTAGCATACTCGCCAGCTATGAATAGTTTTCCGTTCCTCACTATCGCTAAAGATCAAGCAAAGCTAGCGGAGTTATAGTCACCTTACTGAGTCCATACGCAGAGTTGCTGCTGGCTGGCTTGCATCCTGCTCATTAGCTCTTGGCATGCTTTCTTTCTGCTATCTCCCGCAAGGTATTTTGATGCAAAGGTATCATGGCGTATGTTGAAGTGGCACTTTACATTCGACCGTTTCATTGATGTAATCTTGTCACTGCAAATTAGACACACCGCAAAACCTGCTCTCTTCACAAAGGCGAATTCTCCGGCCCATTCTTCCTGAAATGTACGATACTCCTCATTTCTTTTTCCTTTCACCATCTTCTTTGTTGAAAGTGTTAACTTTAAGCAAGTGAGAGAAAGAGTGTGTAGCGGTCAAGGATGTGCGACAAAAAACACAAGGGACTATAGGTGACAAGGCAGGCTGGCCGATGCGCGCAAGATTGCCTTGTCGTCCAGCGTGGCCTTGATTAAGCTGAGCTCAAGTCTGGGGGCTGTCGTGCTTTAGTAGAGCGTCTGTTATTTAATGAGCCTGTCGTGACCGTTGGGACGCAGGAGAAAAAGGAAGCAGCTGCTTTCGGCTAACCGGAAAGGGAACACTGAAATAACTGCTAGGTCAAACTTAGGGGGCCGTAACGCCAGAGATTGGTCGAGATTAAATTGATTTTAATACGCGTCTCAGCGGCGGCACATCATTGGAAGAACCAAAATCACAAAATATGAAGTTTATAATTCCAATTTTATCTGAGAGAGCCAGAGGCAATCATCAAAAGAGCCATATGTGGCTCGCGAGCCATAGGTTGCCGACCCCAGGACTAAAGGGTCAATTTACGAACATCTTTGTCAACTGAAGAACAGCAAGATAAGGAGAATTTGTATTCGCAGCCACAGGAGCTAGTTGAGAGACTCCCTCGCCATAATCTTCTAATGGTCGCCGGGGACTGGAATAGCCGGACTAGGCCCGGTTACTCGTCAAACAGTCACCCTATTGGTCGTTTTGGGCTTGGATCTCGATCCGGCAATGGTTAGAGGATGCTGCATTTTGCGGATCAGAACCGACTGTTTGTTACTAACACATGCTTTCAGCATCGGCATAAACATCTACTGATCCGGTATTCAGAAGACGGTCGTACCGCCAGTCAGATCTACTACATGCCAGTTTGTTCAAGCTTTCGCAGTTGGGTCCACGATAGCAGGTCGATGGAGGTGCCGAAACTGGTAACGCCTACGGGTCTGACCATGTTCTCATTTGCACATTCCTAAAGGCTCCCCTCTCATCTGCGCCTAAAATGCCATATGCGACACGTCTGGATGTCGCAAAACTCCGGCAACCCAACACTTCCGAGGCCCTAAGCACCGAAATTCAGTCCCGTCTTACGACACCAGCCGACGGCGAAGGCAGCAGCAAGTGTTCCGCACTAAAGACATCTAGCTATGGGTCAGCCTAGAAAATTATTGGAATCACTCAGCGGCGCCGCAGTGACTGGATCAACGGAAGAACCCTGCAGCTGTCGGTCGAGACAACTCGAGCCAGGCCCTGCAACGATGCTTCATTCCGCCAACTCCGAAAGCTGACAGCAAAGTCGGTTAGAGATGACCGGCAGAAGTACTGTTTCGAAACAGCGACTTCCATGGAGAAGGCCTAACATGTTGGTGAAAATCGAAAACTGTACCAAATTATCCGCCAAGTTAGTGGTAAATCCTCAAGACTCTGTTCGAAATGTGAATGGCAACTTTATCGCTGAAAACTCGGCCAAGGTCGATCACTGGCGTGAAGATTTAGAACACCTCCTCAACTTCGATGAGCAACCCATCACATCCTCCCTCTCCTCTGCAGCGGATTTTCAACCTTCTCCAGCCTATGCAGTGTCGTGCGACCTCGCTTCTGAAGACGAAGTTGACGATGATATACAAAAGATACGCAACAAGGCGTACAGGGAGAGCGGTGTTCCCGCTGAAGTCTACAAGTCTTGTGTCGACACTCTGGCTCATTGGCTTTATGAGGTGATTGGACAAGCGTGGAGAGACGAAACCGTTCCGGACGACTGGGGCTCAGGCATCGTCGTACCTATCTACAAGAAGACTTTCGCAGTGGTAGGTCCTGTCTTACAAACCTGCTCTTCTCCCTCGATCGCTGAACCAAAGCACGCGATGAAGGCAAAATGGTGCATGCTATCTGCATTGACTTCAAAAAGGCTTTCGACATCGTCCCTCACCAATGCCTCCTGCATAAAGTGTGCAGCGCAGGCGTTCGCAGGACCCTCTTTCTATGGATCCAAAACATTTTGACTGGACGGTCCCAAAGAGTACAAGTCAGTCGCCAGCAGTCCTTGGGGGTACCTTGGTGAGTGGCGTCCCACAATATTCCTTGTTTTCATAAACGACTGTATTGGGGACATAGAGTGTAATGTCACCTTGTTCGTTGACGACAAAATTATGTAAAGTTGTCCAAAAAACGGCAGATGAAAACCATCTGCAAGCAAACTTGAACAGATTAGACAACTGGTCAAAGCATTGGCTTATGCCTTTCAGTGTTAGTAAATGGAACTTAAAATCGGCAGTTGTAGAGAACCCAGCCCGAAGGTTTATTATTTAAACGGTACACCGCTGCAATAAGTTGAGAGTCAGAAGGACTCGGATGTGTGGATTACTTCTTCACTCAAGCCAACACTGAACTGCACGAAAGTGGCGAAGTCGGCCAGATCTATATTACAGCTGATTAGCCGAGCCTTTATGGAGTTTGAAAAAGACAGCTTTTTAAAAATATTTGGAAGCTTCGTTCGGTCGCACCTGGAATTCGCTATACAGGCATGGAGACTTTGGACTGTCAAAGACTATACCCTCTTAAAGAAGGTCCGGAGGCGAGCGACAAAATGATCAGAGCTCTGGGAACACTGCCCAATGAAAGCAGACTGTCAACCTTCAACCTATTTCGCTTTTCCTACAGGCAACTACGTGGGGACCTCTTAGTGACCTTCTGTGTTATGAATAACCTGGATTGTTGCTTTGTCACCGATGATTTCTTTAGCCAGGTTAATACGCCCACTTTGCGCGGCCATCCCCTTAAACTACGCCCTGGCATAGCAAGGATCGATGGACGAAAATTCTTCAGTAACAGAGTGGTTGCAGCGTGGGACTCCCTGCCCAAAAAGTTGCCCTCTCCACCTGTGTTAATTCATCTAAGAGCAAACTGGACATGCACCAAACACATCATTCCCAGCCACCTGTTAACCAAGGGACAGAAATACAGAGACATTACATTACATTGCTCGTTATAAGCGAGTGGTCAGGTTTTATTACGATTTCGACTAACCCACAACTGCTGTGTTTTCACCCACAAGTATGTAATTGACGTACTTTTTTCAATTTTTCTTTGTATCCATGTATTTCGTATCATCTTGCTACCAGTAAGGAGTTCGAAAGCGTTCGCCTATGTTTCTCTCTGAGACAGATCATTCCATTCTGCTATACCTACCAGCAACCAACGGCCGTCTGCTTTGTTGACTTTGCCGCTGCGTTCGACTCCGTCTATCGTGAATCCTTGTGGCGGATAATGGCGCTACACGGTGTACTGCTAAAATT